CGTACAACTTCTTTAATGAATCGTTCAATTTCTTTAACGGATCGTACAACTTCTTTAATGAATCGTACAACTTCTTTAACGGATCGTACAACTTCTTTAATGAATCGTACAATTTCTTTAATGAATCGTACAACTTCTTTAAAGAATCGTACAACTTCTTCAATGAATCGTACAACTTCTTTAACGAATCGTATGACTTCTTTAACGGATCGTACAACTTCTTTAATGAATCGTACAATTTCTTTAATGAATCGTACAACATCTTTAACGAATCGTACAACTTCTTGAATGGACCTTACAACTTCTTTAATGGATCTTACAACTTCTTTAATGGATTGTACAACTTCTTTAACGAATCATACAACTTCTTTAACGAATCGTACAACTTCTTTAATGGATAGTACAACTTCTTTAATGGATTGTACAACTTCTTTACTGAATCGTACAACTTCTTTAATGGATAATACAACTATGTTAGATGATCTGCTTGATTGTAAGGGAGCATCCAAAAGGTAAAAAGATGTAACTTAAAACAAGCGTTTCTACTTTGCATTCTCTGTCAAATTCATACTCCCCCCAAACCCACTACTTTGTGTCAACAAAATTTCCGTTACTTCCAGAAATGGAGCGGAGATTGTGGCAGAAGTATAAGTGGCTTTAACCTACCATTATCACCATAGTGCTAACCCCTATCCCCACTAATTGACAACCACCGGCATGAGTAACATTTGCACTCTGCTACACCCCTCAGGTGTGAGTAACGCCAAGACATATGTATGTAAAGATGTTTCTTACCACACGTCCCTCAGTAGCCTCACCCAGTAGTCCTCCAAAGGTGATCACAGGTGACATGCAGGCGCAGTAGAGGAAAAGGAAGGAGGCCAGACACTGGAGGCTAATAGCATCCGTGTAGTCAGAAAGGTAGTGCGGAGCCTTTCGTTTGATGTCCAAAAAGAACCCACCGAAAAACCTATGATAAGATAGGAAAATTAAAAAAAAAATACTACCAACCAGAAGATGCACATGATGTCAGTAGTAATGGTACTATGAAGTAAAATACAATATATACTAATTGTGTCTCTTTGTGTTGGGTGCTGGTTCTCTTTTCATCATAAACTGAGCTAAAAGTTGGTGTGATGGTAGAGTCGTGCCAAACACAAGAGCTAACGTGTTTGCTTAAAAATCTGACAATAAGCGTCGTATGCCACTCAAACACAGCCTCCCCTTCTGCATCATACTGGGATGCAGAAGGGGAGGCTGTGTTTGCCATGGCAACACAAGGTGGGCTGTTGTACCGGCAGGAGGGAGCTGGACTTGTTTTGATGGGAGAAACTGGGCTTGGGGCCAACTGGAAGTGAGAGGAGAGGTTGTGTTCTGCAGCATACCGCAGCTCATCAGCAGCTCTGCTGTTAAACCACTGACACACATCAACTCTACTGCTCCAACAAGGAGTTTAAACAACACCTTTAGTCATGAGACGACTGTGAAACTTAATGTGAAAACAAATGTCTTCTAAAACATTTTATGGAAATAATTTTTTCCTTTTTTTTTTTTTTTTT